CCTCCCCGCCTCCCGCCCGCGCGGGTCGCGATTGGCCGGCGGGACACGAGCGCGGCCGCCCATTGGCCCGCGCCCCAAGCCGCGCCGCTTAAGTAGGAGCGCGCGATGCCGCGCGTTCATCTCGAGCGCCCACGGCTCCGGCCGAAGAACCCCGTTCGCGGTGCAGGTACACTTAGCATTATTAAACGAGATACATTGCATTTGCATATAACTTCTTTTGATTCTCAGTTCGTCGCAGGGGAGTTGAGTCACAGGCAAGGTTTCCCTTTACAGTGACCTAATGTTTTGCAACATTTTTTTAATGAAAAATTTCAAGCATACAGAAAAGTTTGAAAGCCTAATAATTGTGCATGTTCCCTTTCTTATGAGTAACATTTAGTTAATTTTGTTCAGAGCTAAGACCCTGGGGGGTATATGTATTAAATGAATTTGTAACCAAATTCACTGTGAATGTGAAAATGTCCAACTTGCTGCCTTAGGAGTTTAGTATTATGCTCTAGAGGGTCTTTTTGTAGCATGGGGTGGAGGGGGAGCGAGGAGTGTCGTGGACAAACAAGACATCCATTCTGTCTCTTACGAATTTAAGATCCATGTAAAGGGTAGGGGAGGAGGAGGGAGAACGAAGGGAATGTGATATTTATCGTAAGCTGATACACGCCAGGGATAGCACTGGCTTTCTTTGCATATATTATCTTATTTCATCCACATGGATACCTTGTGAAGCATTGTAATTCCCGTTTTACAAATAAGGAAACAGGTCGGAGAAGTCAAGAAACGTGTCTTGGGATGTGAATTCATTTGAAATCAAAGCTTATACTCTTTCTACAATTGGATGCAAACTTTCCAGGATCTGTCCCGGGCGTAGAGTAGAAGGGTCATGTTTGGAGTATTTATGCAAACTCTGTAATACTGTATGTGTACGCATGCTCCTTTTCCCCATGCGCATTGACCTACTGTGGTTACTACCTGCTAATGTAGTATATGTTATAATGTTTATAAAACTCTACCTTTAGAACCAGGCACTTTATATCGTTTTCCTCAATAAAAAATAGAGATAATTACTGCCCCTTTTTCATCTCAAAGGACTGATGTGATAATTATGCAAAGAGTGGTTGGTAGTCACAGCAAAAATAAACTACGACTCCCAAAATTCCCGAAGAGGCTGCCGCGAGTCCTGGACTCAGTTCCAGCTTTAGGGCAAAGGTGACCCCGCTGAGTCCCGCCGCGAAGTAGGCGAAGTAGGGAGCGGCGGGTCCTCGCCCCTTTCCTGATGCATCCAGGGATTTGTAGTTCCCAGAAGGCCGGGGGCCGCCCCCGGGGCCGGTCTCCGACTACAACTCCCGTGACGCCCCGGGGCGCGGCGCGCCTGCGTACTGACGCCGAGGGAGTGCGCGGGCGGTGCTGGCGGGGGAGGAGTAAAGATGGCAGCGCGGGCGTCTCCGCCTTCTGCTCCCGGCTGACGCGCTCTCTGGGAGGCGGCGGCGGCACCCCGAAGAGCAGCGACCTAGAGGCGGCATTGCGG